AAAAAACCTTTTTGTATAAAACTGGAAATATACGACACCAGCTCGCTGGCTCCATCAAGTGATTGTACCATCAGGCTCGAAGCATATAACTTACCAGCATGCTGGTACAATATTTATTTCTTGACAAATGAGGTCGAGGAAAGATCGAAATGATTAGAGCCGAAATTTCATAATTTTTCTACCATTTTTTTAAACACTGTTTTTTTTTTTTAATTCACAACTGCAATATCGTGAACTTAATCTTCCACAAACACGGCTTTGACTCATATAGTGCAAGGAATTTCCGCCAAAATACTTTTTACTTAGAAAAATTAGCTAATTACACCACTCACGACACCAGCATGCTGGTACAATCATAAAATTTTCAAAAAGTTTTTGAAGTCGCACCAGCAGCTGGTGCAATCACAGCACAAGAACATACACGGTCAATCGACTTGATGGGCCATTTAAAAAATTAAGCATATTAAGGGCCGGTTAAACTATAGTTAAATCGTTAATAGATAAGTTAACAGCCCTAACACTTTTACAGTATGTATGTATAAAAACGTAAGGAACATACAATACATATACATATATATATATATATATATCAGTCTTTCTTAGTTTAAAAATTCATCTCTTAGATAAATGAAAAAAAAGAGATGGAATTAAGCATATACAACTTTTTCATGCCAAGTATGAGTAAATTCTCCAAAGGGCTAAAAAAGGGCTAGGGGCAATTTTAAATTTATGTGGCCAAAAAAAGTATGTGGTAGCTAAATCTAGCCACAGAAGGGCTAAAACGGCAACACTGGACAGGATGAGAGTATGATGATTTTTCGAACGTAAAATGACACTGAAGATGGTACAACGCCGAAACCGGTTTGTCTCCAAGCCAAATTTGACAAAGGATGACAGAAAATCGTTCCACAATACATCGTTCTTCCTCTTATTTTCTGTCAAACTCATACAAATTCAGGATGTCGCTGCCACGTTCAAAAAACTCAAGTCGCTATCGTCAATACGGACGCTAAAAAATTGAAGGCTCTTTACTTTAGATACCTTATGGGCGTCCATAGAAAAAGTAAAGAAAGCTTCAAATGCCCTTCATGGGGGAAGGCAAAACGTACGGATTTAAAACAAAAATTTCACTTTTTAAAAGAAACCATTGGTTGGCATTTTCTGGGAATTTTAGTCGAAACCTATATATTTATTTAAACCCACAAGAAAAAGTTTCCGTACAGAGTTTTTTTTTTAAATAAAATGATTTTTATAAAAAATCTTAAATTTTTTACAAAAATATAGCTTTTTTTTTAAATATTAACCATTTAAATATAAGTTTAAAACTTTACCTAAAATTAAGAAAAACCTTCCGATTTTTCAGTGAAATTTTTTTGGTGTGCATTTTCATAGCCCTTTCAATTTTAGTATATAATTGGCCGTATGGATAAAAACTAAGCAATTACTTTTTCTGGAAACTTCAGACCTTTTACTCGATTTATTCAAATAAATGTAAGCAAAAGGTCTGAAATTTTTAGAGAAACAACCGCTTAGTTTTTATTCATATGGTCCAATGTCCTGTTTTGGAACTGCTACAAAAATTTCTAAAAATTCGGGCAAAAAAGTTTCAATTTTTTCCGAGAATTTGGCTAATTTTTCTTAATTTTAAATAAAGGTTGACACTCGTATTTAAATGGTTATGTAATAACAGCCCAGTTGCACAACATATGCAACAATTTTTATTTTGCTTTTTGTCCACAAGTTTTTTATAAAAGTACAAAAACATAAAATATACAATTTCTAAACTTTGTGCAAAACTCAGGAAAATACAATAAATTTTCATGCAAATTTGCAACTTTTTGGTCAGATGTTTTTGAGTGTGCAATTTTGTAGCTCATTAATTAGCATAATAAAGTGCAAGTTAGAACTAGCTAGGACTTACCGTTAATTTTTGGCAATTCTTTTTAGGCGGTTTTTTATAAACAAAACCATTTTTCGAAAATACTTTTTATGGAAAAAGTGAAAAACCTTCAACAGAAAAAAAATCTCAAAAATCAACGCGATTTTTTAGAAACTTAAGCTAACGTTTTTTTCTAAAAAAAAAGTATTGTAACCATTCTAAAAAAAAATAAAATAAAAATAAAAAAAATGTGAGTAAAAAGTTGCAATTTTAGATTTTGAGCGCTGGGTCTAATTTAGAGTTTTAAAATTGAAAAAATTACTCAGTTTTAAAAGATTTAAGCTAAGGCGTTTAAAGTAAAAAGTAAATTGCAAAAATATTTAATTTTATCCCAACTGAGAAACCCGTTCGCATCGTTGCTTTTTATTTTCTTTCCTTACTATTTTTTTTTAACTATGAGTGTATTTCTGCGTGTCAAATAAAATTTTATCGAGCATTTAAATAAAAGAGGAATATAAAAAATGTACAACAAACACATAATTTTGACAAGCAGCACAATTCGCCCTGAAATCAATTGCTCTGGTAGCATCACTTTGTTTGCCATCCCTCGACCTTTAAAATTAATTTCCCATTCGTTGGTCCCATAAAAATGCGATTTTCGAAAATAAACAAAAATCCAGAAATCAAAATACATAATCCTAAATGCGGTAAAACAAAGGTTAAATGTTACACCAAAAGGAAATAAAGTCCAAAGCTGCTCAACAGCTGAGCATATACAAAGCGATAAGATGTAGACGCATACATATGTATATATGTATGTATATACATACATCTGTCTGGCTGCAGTGGCCGAAGTATATGTATTACCAATTGAGCGATCAGATGTGCAGACTTTGAGGAGTATGAAGGCGGATTGCAAAATTGCCTATGTTAACTTACACACAGATATGCAATGTATTATCTATTTGATATATGTACATACATACATACGTATATATATGTAGCTATGGAAAGAAGTTCGTATCGCCACAACATGCCCGGAAGCCACCCCATGAAACATAAAATAAAAGCATAAAAACTTCTTGATTTCTGCACAAAAGAGAGCGAGAATCGTCAACGAGAGCACTACTAGAGATTATATACAAGTAATTGAGTGCGTTTTAATGCGGCACTAATTTTGTGACGCATATGTACTTGCCTGCTTTATTTTTCACGATGCGGCTTGAGACCGCATGAAACGCATGAAAACGGAATAGATACAATAAATATTAGTTGTTCCTAAAACGTGGCTGAGTTAGAACGTGCGTGTTTTTTTGCTGGAGATGGTGGAGCTTTTTTTATTTTTTATAGAGAAAAGCGGTAGTATGTGTGTGTGACTTAAGTTTTTCAAGTAGTACAAATTTAGGTATACTACAGAATAAATTCGCAGCTAAATGTCAACCAAGGATATGGATAACAAATTAATAGAGGAAGTACGTAAGCGGCCATTTTTCTACGCGAAAGGTCAAGCGGGCTACCGGGATTCGAAGTTGCGCCAAAAAGCCTGGGCAGAGATTGCTGATGTTATGGAGCTATCGGGTAGGTGAAATATTTATGTACATATTTAAGACTTGAATAATCATTTTTATACATAATAAGTAACTGTAAATTTATGCTCGCAGCTGATGAATGCTACCAGCGTTGGCGTGTACTTAGAGATCGTTATGTCAAATTAATGGCCAAGAAAGCTGGAAACAAAAAACTTAGCAAGTTTGAAAATCGTTGGACAATGTACGAGCAGCTAGCGTTTCTAAATCCTTACATACAACCCAGAACGTAATGAATAAATAGAGTAGTTATTATACATACATATGTACATTCATATGTATGTAACATTGATAATGTTGTTGTTTTTATGATTTCTCCCAGGAATACGTACGATTTCGTAGTTCAAAAATTCGAGCCTGAATGTATGGTCGACGAGTCGCTTATGTCGCTGCCTTCCTTTGAATACGAAGATAATTGCAGTGATACATTACCAATTGAAATAGCCACAATTGAGACCTTGCAACCGGAACCTACTGCTACAACTGAGGCACCTGAAGTGCCACAACAAAAATTCAACGAGTTGAAAGAAAGTTTAGCAACTTTTATGAAAAATACGGAAGAGCTTTTGAAGCAAAGCGCGACGACTTCAACGGCAGATAATAAAAATGAGGCATTCTATCGATTAATCGGCGGCAAGCTAGCCGAACTACCGGAGGAAGAACAGGAGGATACTAAACTATTCATAATCTCACATGTTTTCGAAAAGGTTAAGGTGTATAAAAAGCAACTGAAAAGTGTGCAGAGTGCTGACAATACCTGAGTCAAACTGGGTATTCATTGTTTTGTGTTCATGTAATTATAAACTTGTATATATAGAGGAATTAATAAAGGCTTTGTTTGAACAAAAAAATCAGAAAAGAAAGAATTTATTTTTACCCTTGTCAAACGAAGCAAAAATATGTAGATATATATGCATATATATGTATGCACTTCTCTGTCAGTCTAGCAATGGGTTTGTAGGCGCTTTATGCGACTCTCTTCTCGTTGGTTGCTCGTTGTACAGAAAAGGGGCACGTTGCTGTATTTATTGGGCATAAAACAGCTGTTTAGCGCTCACAGACCGGCTCGGAACATTAAATTTTTTTTATATGTGCCATGGTATATATATGTATACATGCATGTGCAAAGTATATAGAAAGTAAATAAATAGGAGCTGCATCGAAACCCGTTCTTCCTTGGCACTTGACCACTTGTGAGTGCGCTCATATATATTGAGCCAAAGAGCTGCAGCTGTACTCAATTCAAAGAGCGAAATTCACTTGTGCTTTGGCTCTTCGTTCCTTTATTTTCGACTCAATGTAGAGAATTTGTATACAACACAAAATTTCTATAAATTTTGGTACTCAATTTAATTGTTTTTTTTTTGTAAATTCTACACTCAATTTGAGCGCTTTGCTTCATTTGAGTGAAAGAAAATTTGCTTGTCGTGAGCAATGAGCGAACAGCTGAAAGCAAATTTAGTAAATACTATATAGTATTTACTTTCATTTATGTGTTTTTGTCTGTGCGCAAGTATGCGGATAGAGGAGCCTCCGCTATAAAAATACAATATTTATGAGTAGCTGTGAAAATTTTGTACACTTTTGGTTTAGTCGATATATAGCACCGCATCAGTGTACAACGAAAATGGGAAAAGCAGAAAGTGCTGGGTTGTTCAGAGATGAGCAATTCAGTTTGGGGGAAAAAAATTTACGTAAAATTGTGCTGAACAACTTGGCAAATTGCGTAAATTCATTTTAAAGTACTACAGCGAACGAAAACGAATATAAAACGTCGAAATTTTTTGATATTTAGTACAAGTCGATCTAAATTTTCTTAAAGTTACCACGTTGAAACGTTGATAACTTTTTACGAAATAGCTGTGATATTTTTGTATCTCTAATACATTTCCAACTTATACGGTTGGAATAGATTTTCCTAAAATTTTCTTTGATTTATGTCGCTAAGCACAAGTTGTGTCCTTGTGTAAGGTACGTGAGCGGAAGAGCTGGAGCTTGCGAAGGAGAATTACATGGCAGGCGACAGTAACGGTGGTGGCGACAATGGGGACAGTTGGGCAACGGCCAAGTCACAGAGACGGTAAGCATTTTAATGGTGAATTGTTTTTAACTTCCGTGTGTGCGTAGTACCGATGAGCGTGTATTAATCGATTTAATTTGAGGAAATGGAAATAAATTCTGAAATATAAAATTTTAAATGATCAAGTAAAATAAATTAAATTAAAGGAAAATAATTAAAAGACAATGTAAAAATAATATATAAAAATGAAAGATAAATATTAAAATAAAAACGGAATGAAAAATTAGCAAAAATAAAGACAAAAATTAAATAATTTAAAAAATAAAACGAAAAAATAGAATGAAATAAAGCAAAAAATAAAACAAATTAAAGTAAAATGAGATAATATTAATAAAATAAGTACTAATAATAAAAAATAAACAAACTTAAAATAATAAATAAATAAATTAAAGAACGGTTTAAATTAATTCAAAGGAAAATATAAACCAATAATACAAAAATTATATAATTTTACGTAAATTTCAGGGAATTTTAATTAAATGAATAAAATTTTTACGAAGTAAATTCAAAGCAAATGCATATTATGTATTTGAATAAATTCAAACTAAATCCACAATTATTAAAAAAAAAATCCATTCATAAAAGGCACAATAAAGCGAAAAAATATTAATGTTTGCTCAATAATTTACAATCATACATGCACTAGGCGACAGATGAAAGTGTACACCTTGTTCTAATATAATACTCACAATTATTTTCATGCACATTTTTTGCATTAATAATTTATGAAAACATAGTTCATTTTATAATATAAACAATATAAATCAAAGTTTCACACTTTATATAAAGTTTACAAAAATTCAAAAAATTTTCATAAAAATGTTCAACTTTTTATTCAGAATTTCTAGAAAGTTTCTGAGTACACAGTTTTGTAGCCCATTCAACCATCAACCAATTAAAAAATAGCGTTGCTTTTTGAGAATTTTTTTTAGGAGACTGCTTTTGCGTTTTTTTTTTATACAACGAGTGGAATTTCAAGAAACTGCCACTGATTTTTTGAAATTGTGTTGCTAACGGTCACCTGCTTTTTATTTCAAAAAAAGTCATGCGTATGTGCAAAAATCCGTTTGAAACTTGCGCTTCATTTGACTAAAATTGAATCGGCTGCAAAACTGCATACTAGAAAATTTGCTAAAAGCTCTGAATAAAAATTTTGATACATTTTTTTTTTGAATATTTGTGAACTTTATATAAAGTGTAAAACTTTGATTTATATGGTTTATATTATAGAATGAACTACATATATTTCCCTAAATAATTAATGCGAAAAATTGCTCATGAAAATATTCGTGAATAGTGTATGTATGTAGTAAATGTATTTGGGCTAGAAGTCTGCTTTCGGAAACAAAATCTTGCCAAATAACCGAAAATTTGAGTTATAGAAGGTAAGCAGCTTTTTAAAGATATCTTTTCATCCGAGTTTTGCTTGAAATCAATGGGATATGAACGTCGTCACTCTGAGTACTCTACCCAATTGAATGATTCATGTTAAAAAAAAAATGTTCAAACCTAATAGTTTATTAAACATTAAACCAAAAACAAAACCGACTTCAATCCTCATATAAAAATTTAAGAGTACCGTTAGTTTCTTCATGATCCAATGATCAGATTTAAACCAAATTAGTATGGGACCATCCCTGAGCTACTATCTTTCAAATGGGTTATCGTGGTCCCAAGTTATGCCGTAACATTCATAAAAAAAATATTCCGACGAATTGATAACCTTCTCATATTTTTGAAGTACCTTAATAATAGCATATCACTCAAACTTTTTCTTTTGCATTCATTTCTCTACTTACAGGTCGCCCTTCACACATCCCCAACTGCTCCACCCAACAACACTCTGCTCTACAGGCACTCAGGTTCAACAGTGATATTCTCTCTCATTAAGTGATTGTGGTGACCTTCGGCCACACAAATACACAATTGCAACCATTTGCTGTAATTGCTATGTTTTTTTTAAGTTAAAAAAGCTAGTATGTAAGCAAATTGGCTGTCTGTGATATTTTTTGTGTATTTGTCATAGATCTAAAAGCTAGAAAAACAGCAAAAAATGCTAGCAGTAATCTATTTTAATTTATTTAAATTCTATTACTGAGCAAATTTTTGCTGTGCAAGGCAAATTTAGATTTATGATAAATTGTGATAAGAAACTGTGATATGTTTTGTGTTCATTTTTTTTTTGTATAAAACTGAAAAAAAACACAAAAAAATCGAAAAACAAAAAAGAAAGAAAAAAATAAAAGATCGACATCCAAACTGAAATCAAGCGTTTGTTATTTGTAAGTGTTAAAAGAGCAGTTTAGGTATTTAAGTTACATACATATATGTACATATTAATTTTTTGAAAACGCTTTAGTCCAAACTTTGAAATTTTCTAGCATTTTCCAGTTTAAGTAAGCCGCAACAGCAATTTAAGGGAAAAATGATTTTTTTTTTAAATTCTGTCAGTTCTCTTCCAATAAATTAGAGTAAAATTTATATTTCTCTTAAATTACTTTCGTGAAACTGGCTATTCATAAAATAGATGAATCAAAAGAGTATGTACAATCTATTATATGTACATATGTATGTATGTATTATTTCAGAATTTTTAGGTGCTCTTTTTCCAACAAAGTGCTCATGAGCTAATCTGACACGCGATGAAAGTTTAAATTTTATTTTTTTTTAATTTCTTCACTGTGATACATACATACCTAAAATGCTAATTGAAAGAGGTCTCCATGAATTTTTAAACTTTCTCTGTCCAGCCGTTTTCGAGATACCGATTTATGAAAATGACCATAACTTTGCGAACAATGGGGCAATTTATACATATATATAAAACACTTTTGAAATGAAAAATCGAAAAAATTTTCTGAACCTTATAAAATAAAATATATAAAATTTAAAAATTTTTAATATAAAAAGTTAACTTCCCAAAAACACGCACTAATAGATTTTATTGAATATTTTTTTATACTAACACTTATTCCGCGAAACTTTTAAGCCTAGTTTAATAACAATGGGATCTATTTTTTATAGAATTTTTAAATTATTAAACAAACTTGGGAATTTTGTCCAACTCAACGCCAAGAATTCTGCGTCAAATAAACAGCATTAATCAAAAAGATAAAAAACTATTTTATAGTAGAGGAAGAAGTTCTTTACCCAAAATTGTATAGGAATGCGGGTTTGAAAATTTTTTCGATTTTATATTCCAAAAGTGTTTCGAAAATGATAAATAAAAGGTAAAAATAATAAATAATCGGTAAATTTTTCACAAAGTTATGGGCACTTAGGGCGGTATTATCACTTGCGAAGCGAATGAATTTAACAGTGTTCGCTTTTACCAGCTTGTGCAAGTTCTTTGCATCGCGAACACTTTTAATACCTTCTCTGCCTTTTAATTCGCTTCGCCAAACCGTTCGCTTCGCCAAAATCATTCGCTTCGCAAGTGATAATACCATCCTTAAAGAAAAGTTACTTTTTTTCAAAATTCCATATCTCGAAAACGGCTGGAGAAAAAAATTATTAAAAAAAAAACTGAGAGGCTCCTCTCAATTGGTACTATAACAACCAAAGTGTATTCAACAAAGTGTGATTGAATTTGACATTGCTCTCAGAAGAACCATCCTATAAAGTCAAATTGAAAAAAAAAAACAAAAGAAATATAGCCAAAACTTGCTAAAATGTCGCCTCCTTATTTAATTTCCCGATATTTTACGTGCATCAATAAATACTTATGTATTTACATATGTAAAATTTTGTTAAAATGCTAAAATATATATTCTGCATTATTCAGTTGTGTTTGTGACAGATTGTGGGGAATTTCGCCCTTGCAAAAGTTAAGCACATAAATATTCATAAAACAATAAGATTGTACTTAAAGCTGTCTACAGAAAAAATAAAATAAAAAACTTTCTAATAATAAATTGTGGGGAGAGCTTCAAAAGCTATAAATTTATAAATTAGTGTTTTCCTGTGAAGGCTAATTTTTATTTCTAGACAAAAAAGTGATCTAGACTTTCGAGCCTTTTGAGGCCCCTTCCAGTCAAAGAAATCCAAAAAAAACTCAAATAATGATAAAAAGAAAATATGAACCTTTCCAAATAATGTTTCATTATCCTCAAGCTGATGTCGGTAGCGAATGGCTAAATGCTATCGCGCCCCCAATATGGAGTCTAAATTCTCCGTATCCATTTATGCAAATTCGTAATTAGCGACCCCAAAAACCTATAGTTAGTGACTCTTTTTGAGATTGATTGATTTTTTAAATATTCAGTTCGTCATATTGGATCCGCAGGATGGACAAAGCCGAAAGGGGGAAGTGCAAATCTTTATAAAATAGCAATAATATTTATATTAAATTTAAATTAAACTGAATTTTAAGTTGAATATAAAAAAAAATTTAAGTACATAAGTGGATGCAGATTTTCATTAGATATTTTTCACCTAAATCTTGCAAAATCTTGCAGATATCCGTCAGAATCGGCGTGTCGGTAAGATTTCCAGCCAACCTCTCCATACCTTTCTCCGATCGGTATCGGCCAGAAATCTTAAAGATATCTGAGAGATATCTGCTATTTTTGCTAGCTGGGTTCAAATACACATTCATGTATGCGATTTTTTGACGTCAAATGTTAGGTTGCGATAGCTCCAGGAGGCATAGTTTCGAAACATTAAACATCCCAATAGTCCAGTTTAAATCCAATCTGGTTTAATACCTGAAAATTAAAACAGAAAAAATACTAATGATGAGTAAATATGTGAAATTGTCAATTTCTTCCTGCTTTGAAGATTTAAATCAGGGCCGAGAACGTTCTCAATGGGAAATATATAAGAACAAAACCCTGTGGAACGTTCCCAAATAGAACAAAATGCGAACCAAACTTTTGGTAACATTTCTAAGAGAACAAAATGGGTAACACAAGTCTCCGGAACGTTTTAGCGAACAATTTGGTAACTAAAGTCTCAGTTAATAGACATCACTCTCATCTGGGTTCCCGGCCATAGGAACATACACGGAAATGAGAGGGCTGACGAGTTGGCTAAGGCCGGAGCATCTTTGGATGAATCCGAAGCAGAAACTATAAATTGTCCACTCGGACTCATCAAAAGGGAACTGCATCTGCAATTCACACGTATGGCTGATACACGTTGGAACAACCTTCAAACCTGCAAAACTGCGAGGTACATATGGCCGCACTATGACAAGAACTTCTCAAGAGGTCGAGGAAAGATATAGTCAAATTAATAGCCACTATAACGGGACATTGGCCCATTGGTGAACATGCAGCTAGAATGGGCCTTCCGTATAACCCTCGGTGCCGTAGCCGTAATCTTGTGGGAAGTAAGGAAACGGTCCTTCACTACCTTTGCGAGTGCCCAGCATTGGAACAATTAAGGCAGATGATACTCGGGAGTTTTTCCATCCAAAATCTTGGGGAAATCTCCAAATTCACCATTATTAACCTAAATAGATTAATCGGAAAATCCAAATGGTTTGACGAACCCAAGGAATCATGAAAGCAGATAAAATCAGGGGTCCCAGAGAAAGCGTATCAAAATGGTGCTTTCAGCACTAATTGGGTCCTGGAAACATACCCAGCGACGCTTCTACCAACCAACCAACCAAAGTCTCAGGAACTTTCTGACAGAGAACGAAAGGGAAAAAATCTTCTCTGAACTATTCGTGAGTTCCGTTCCGTTGGTTTGAAATGTTTGACTATTAAAATTAATCAAAAATATAACTGAAAAATAATTATGCAATTGAAGCCAACGAAAGACTTAAGACACGAACTTTTCTTGCTCAGAAAATGGCAGATTGTTCCATAAATAGACAGTTCATCCTGATGATAAACGATCTGGATGTTGAAATGACCCAGCTTTCCTCTGACTTAGAACTAACAATCGTAGTTCTCACTGAAACGTGTTTTCATTTCATTTTTAAAGTAAAGTAATAAAAACTTTTGTTCTCGTTTTGTTCGCTTGCAGAACGTTCCCTAGACTTTTGTTCTTATTTGATCCTCCTTGAAACCGTTCCCCCAAACTAGTGTTCTTATTTTTTCGCATTGGAAACGTTCCTGAAGGTTTCGTTCTCATCTGTTCTTTTTGATAAGGTTTCCTACAGTTTTGTTCGCATTTTGTTTTCAACGGAAACGTTCCCAAACCTTTTGTTCTCATTTTGTTCCCGTTCAAACTGCTCTAAACACTATGGTTCCCGTTTGGCTCTTTTTTGGGAACGTTCCTGACATATTATATTTTGTTCTCGTGCATAACTAAACCAAAACTGGAACGCGTTCTCGGTCCCTGGTTTGAAACAGTATTTTTTATGCAATCAATAAAATCTATGAAAGATCTGAGAAACGGTACATAATAATAATAATAGATTGGCGCTTACACATATGTTAGTGTTTGGCCGAGCTTCTCCTCCGATTTGTGGCGTGCGCCTTGATGTTGTCACACAAAGCGGAGGGACCTACAGTTTTACGCCGACTCCGAACGGCGATTGTATTTTTATGAGAAGCTGTCTTTCATGGCAGAAATACACTCGGAGGTGTGCCATTGCCTGCCGAGGGACGACCGCTGTTAAGAAAAAACCTTTTTTCTACATTTTTTTTGCGATGTTGCTTTGACCAGGGCTTGAACCCAGGTGCTGCGGAGTGGAAGCGCGCACTGCTTACCACTACACCACAGCGGCCGACGAGAAACAGTACATACATCTTTATATAAATACGCCACAAGAAAAATTCGAGCGCGTGGCATCTGACATAGAGACTAAAATGTGAAAACAGATATATCTCTAAAACCATTTACGCTTTGGAACTGAAACTTAGCATGGATGCATAAAATGTAAATACCCTACTTACGCCGAAAAATGGAAGGCATTGAAAAAGGGGGCATGGCAACTCCCATACAAACAAAAATTTTCATATAGCTTATCTTTGGAACCACTTATGCTAACGTCCGGAAATTCGACACAGCTATTTATGCAATCAAAACATATTTATGGCGAAGAGTGGTAGATTTGGAAAAGGGGAGAGGCACCTCCCATACCAACTAACTTTTAATATCGCTTATCTGTGTAACCTCTTATCATAAGGTAACGGAGTTTGATACACCTACTTCTTCTTCTTCTTCTTATTTGGCGCTGCAACCGCCTAAGCGATTTTGGCCGAGTTCAACAAATCACGCCAGTCGTTTCTTTTCTGTG